TGTATCTATATCTATATCTATATATCTATATCTATATCTATATCTATCTATCTATCTATATATATATGTGTATATATCTATCTTTACATGTATGTAAATGTATTATGGGGAGTTTCAGCTCAGTGCCCATCCTGCCAGGTGACACTGGACCCTGCTGGGACACAAAACCCCCTTCAGCCCTTCCCAAAACCTGACCCCCTTCTCTCCAGGGTCAGGTGGGGCTCAGGGACAAAATACCAAATTTTTGTTTTGTTTTGTTTTGTTTTTTTACAATGTCTGGAAATCTTTAAAGACAGATTAAACCTGGATCTCTGCTTTTTTATCCTCCTTCCTGTGGGCAGGGATGTCATTGTGGCATGACATAAGCAGGTGAAAATGTCACAGTGTGGGATGAATTTGCGGTAATTGYTTTTCCTCTGTGTCACCCTGGATTCTTTTCTGGGTTTCTGCTGGTTTAACTGGGAGAAAGCTAATTTTAGAGTGAACCCAAACTGTATTTTTGAAATGGCTTTGCAGTATTCTGTAAAAGCTGAATAGAGCCTCCCAATAGGATGTAATCGATTTTCTTACTATGTTGGGAAAAAAAATGTGATTTGTCCCCCTGCGTAGCCTGGGAGCACACACAGTTCAGGGCTTTTGCAGTGGAAGATTTGCACTGTCAACAGCAAAAGCTGTGCGTGAGAATATCTTTTCCATTGAGGGAAAAAGCCTTTCCTTTTTTCTGCTCCCTGCAAGTACTATTTTGTTTACACGAGCTGGACCATGAGTGCGTTGTGAAACCGCTGAGCGCTGCCAGATGTGCTCGTTTGGTTCACACACGGCACAGGGCTCGGGTTCTATTCCTGGGGAGGCAGTCAAAGAATGCTACATTTGAAATGGGATTGCAAAACGTGATTGATGGTGTTGTTTTGCTGGTTTTGGGTGGTCATGAGGGATTGTCTGATTTCCCCAAGAGTCTGACCTTGCTTCCCARTTCCAGGAGATCCTGGAAAGTTTTATATACATATATAGGAATGTATACAATTTCAAGATGCAAAGAAAGCCAGGAGTTGGCTCTCACTCTTCTTTGCCTGCGCAGGTTTGTCACCTGTAACATCCAGACTGCAGGGAAACAGTTTGAGAGTAAAGACAAAGAGAGGTGGGAATTTTTGAGATATTCCTTGTGGAAAGAGTGCTGCCCTAGAGGGGAGGCAGGGAAGAGAAGGAAGGAGCTGGAAGGAGYGGGAGGGAGGCAGGACAGTGGTGGGCACAGGCTGTGCCAGGGCTGCTGCAGAGCTGTGAGGAGCTGGAAGGGCTCTCAGCAGAGGGTGACACTGCAGCAGAGGTGACACTGCAACAGAGGTGACACTGCAGCAGAGGTGACACGGGACTCTGCAGCACAGGGTGACACTGCAGCAGAGGTGACACTGCAGCAGAGGTGACACTGCAGCAGAGGTGACACGGGACTCTGCAGCAGAGGTGACACGGGACTCTGCAGCACAGGGTGACACTGCAGCAGAGGTGACACGGGACTCTGCAGCACAGGGTGACACTGCAGCAGAGGTGACACTGCAGCAGAGGTGACACTGCAGCAGAGGTGACACGGGACTCTGCAGCAGAGGTGACACGGCTGTGGTCACAGCTCCCAGCAGAGCAGGCTGTCCCTGCGGGCTCTGTCCCTCTCTTGGTGTTGGATATCCACAATTCCTGCTGGAGCTGATGGCCGTGCTGCCAGGGGCAGTGTTTTCCAGTGGGAGTGCAGGTATTGACTGCAGGAAGGTAGAATTGCATGTTGGGGCTGTTGGCTGCTCCTTCTGAGACCCCACGTCACTGTGGTCACTTTGGTCACTTTGGTCACTTTGGTCACTCTCAGGCTCTGGGCTGTGCAGTGCAGATGGCTCTCTGCATTCAGCTTTTCCCTGAAGGGAAGGACTGACCTTGCGTGAGGTGGAGTTTGTGATTCTTACATCTTCTGCAGCCCTTAGATCTCGTTTGTAGTCACGGTTTTGGGTGTTGAGGTTTTTTTTGTGGGTCATATTATTTCTGGTTTGTTTTATTTGGGGGGGGAAATGCTGGTTGATTTTTTTTTAAACTTACAATTTTGGGGGCATTAAGGGAATCGTGTGTGTTCATGTGCAAGGGAATCCCTTAGCAGTGTCTTCCTAGAGCTGGAAATAGAGCTCGGAGGTGATGGAAATGCTGATCTGAGAGCACTTCCCGCACTAAAGCTGTGTGGGGAAAAACTCKGAGACACTCGGTCTGTTTTGTGTCCTGTTCGGGAAAAGGGTGGGAGATCCTTGAAGCTGAAGGTGTCCCTGCCCTGCAGCCCCTGTGCCAACGCTGCTCTCCGGTGTGTCCCAGCAGTGTCAGAGGCTCCGGGCGGTGGCGGTGGCGGTGGCGGTGGCAGTGCGGTGGCACTGTTAACATTGCTGTCCCATGTGTCCCAGCAGTGTCAGAGGCTCCGGGCCCCGTAGGGCAGCGCTCGGTGGCAGTGGTGGTGGCAGTGGCGGTGGCAGTGGTGGTGGCAGTTGTGGTGGCAGTATTAACATTGCTGTCCCCTGTGTCCCAGCAGTGTCGGATGCTCCGGGCCCCGTAGGGCAGCGCTCGGTGGCGGTGGCGGTGGCGGTGGCAGTGGTGGTGGCGGTGGCGGTGGCGGTGACGGTGGCGGTGGCACTGTTAACTCTGCTCTCCATTGTCCCCCAGCAGTGTCCGAGACTCCGGGCCGTGCGGGGCAGCGCTCGGTGGCGGTGGCGGTGGCAGTGGCACTGTTAACTCTGCTCTCCGGTGTGTCCCAGCAGTGTCAGAGGCTCCGGGCCGTGGCGGTGGCAGTGGCGGTGGCAGTGGCACTGTTAATGTTGCTGTCCCTATGTCCCAGCAGTGTCCGAGGCTCCGGGCCGTGCCGGGCAGCGCTCGGTGGCGGTGGCGGTGGCGGTGGCGGTGGCAGTGGCACTGTTAACATTGCTGTCCCTATGTCCCAGCAGTGTCGGATGCTCCTGGTCGCACGGGGCAGCGCTCGGTGGCGGTGGCGGTGGCAGTGGCGGTGGCACTGTTAACTCTGCTCTCCATTGTCCCCAGCAGTGTCGGATGCTCCTGGTCGCACGGGGCAGCGCTCGGTGGCGGTGGCGGTGGCAGTGGCGGTGGCAGTGCCCGTGTCCGCGCTGCTGCTGCTGGCTGTCCTGGCCACCTGCACTGCCCGGGGCTGGCACCGTGCCCGGGCCAAGCCCCCCAACGTGGAGGAGCCCCTGTCCGAGGCCACCCTGGCGAGCTCCGGGAAGACGCTCAAGGATCTCATTTATGACATGACCACCTCCGGCTCCGGCTCCGGTACGCGGGACACCCTGCGGGTTTTGGGCTGGTGCGGGGGTGATGGGGCTCGGCTGCTCTGCTCCTGCCAAATTGCAACAATTCAGTTCTTTGATGGAATGGGAGAGCTAGAAAAGGGAACTCAGAAATCAGAGTTAGGTGTGAAACCCAGCAGGGCTGGCCAGTGCTCGTGGCTGGTAAAGAAAGGCACTAAACTCACCTGAGTGGGTCGGGATGCTGCTTCTGAAACTTTTTGTGTTTCACAGCAGAATAATGTTCCTCCAAATTCTTGTTTTGAGCAGAACATCCATCTTTTARACAGTTTTTCCATTTCTGATGTCTTTCCTAGTGATTCCTCTGTTGCTATTCAGAACTTGTAAAGCCAAAAAAACCCCTAAAAATTCGGGGGGAATTCACAAATTCCAGTTTATTTGGCCAGTGGCATGTCTGTGATGTACAGCCCAACTTTCCCTAACTAGAAGTTAAATTGAAAAGTATGTAAACGGTGCTTGCTTTTATCTATAAGTGGAAAATGTACAAATGTGCCTAATTTAATTTATTTCCAYGAGCTGTATACTTCTGAGGATTAAGTTGTTGTTCTTCCCTTATTCTTCTTCACAGCTCTAATGAGCAGACTTTGGCTTTATTTACGCTGAAGTTTTAACAGTTCCCAGCCATTCCTGAACCAGAAATGGGGCTGGACTTTGCAGAGGCAGAGCCCTGTGCACTGGGGTGATCTGTTCTGATTTCAGCTAAAATCAAAGTTGCTGTGAAAAAAAATTAATAATGCTTTGTTTTAAGTCCCCAACAAACACAGAATCAGACCAAACCAGGTGGGGTCTGTGGCTCCAAAGCACAGCGGAGCTGCTATGGTAATTTATTTTTAATTTTGAAAATTCCAGCCGGAGAAGAGCAACTAAACCATTGCAGGACAGCTGCAGTCTGTATCAAACCAAATTGAGYTGTTCAGGGCTAATTTTTTATTTTATTTGGTTTTTAAAAAGTTTTTTATATGTTTAGACACCGGGAATTAACATTAAATAGTCTGATTTGAGGTGATATTGGTTGGGAGAGTATTTTYCCCTGGTAGTTTTGGTGCTGGATTTGCAGGTCCCAGCTGAGCCATTTCACAGGTTCCTGTTTCTCTCTTCACCCAGGTCTGCCTCTGCTGGTGCAGAGAACCATCGCCAGGACCATTGTCCTGCAGGAAATCGTGGGGAAAGGGCGCTTTGGTGAAGTGTGGCGCGGGAAATGGTGCGGGGAGGACGTGGCTGTGAAAATCTTCTCCTCCCGAGACGAGCGCTCCTGGTTCCGGGAGGCAGAGATTTACCAGACGGTGATGCTGAGACACGAGAACATCCTGGGCTTCATTGCTGCTGACAACAAGGGTGAGGGYGAGGGGTGAGCAGCACGGCTGGGCTGAGGCATCTTGGAGAGCTGATCCACCCAAATAACCCGGGATTCTGTGTAGGGCTTGGCAGGGCTGGGATAATGGCTGGATCATGGTTAGGGATCTCCCCAGCTCCAGAGATGGACACTCCCTGAACCCTGAGTGTCTGTGGAATGCCTTGGCAGGGCTGGGATGATGGTTGGATCACGGTTAGAGAGCTCCCAGCCCCAGAGATGGACACCCTGAACCCCATGATTTTGTGCAGTGCTTTGGCAGGGCTGGAATAATGATTGGATTGTGGGATTACAGAGTTCCCCAGCCCCAGAGATGGACACCCTGAACTCTGAGTGTCTGTGCAGGGCCTTGGCAGGGCTGGGATGATTATTGGATTGTGGTTAGGGATCTCCCCAGCTCCAGAGATGGACACTCCCTGAACCCCGAGTGTCTATGCAGGGTTTGGCAGGGCTGGGATGATTATTGGATCATGGTTAGGGAGCTCCCCAGCCCCAGAGATGGACACCCTGAACCCCGGGATTCTGTCTCAGAAAGCTCTCGCTGCCCCCACTCCCATCTCAAACACCACCTGAACCCTGCATGGGCTCCTCCCATGGCACAGCTGGCACCTTGTTTGTGCTCCCCCAAAATGGAGAAAGCTTTCCCTAGTTAATATTTTTAATATTTTTAATAATTTTTTTAATTTTAAATAATTTTAATAATAATAAAATAATTAATAATTTTAATCCTCTGCGCAGATAACGGGACGTGGACTCAGCTGTGGCTGGTCTCCGAGTACCACGAGCAGGGCTCTCTGTTTGATTACCTCAACAGGGGCACGGTGACGGTGCAGGGCATGCTCAGGCTGGCTCTGTCCGTGGCCAGTGGCCTGGCTCACCTCCACATGGAGATCGTTGGCACGCAAGGCAAGTCCTGCCCTCCCACTTCTCCTTAATAATGAGTTTCAGTGTTCTCAAAAGCATTTATGGGTGACATGGCATTGTGAAGTGTTTCCAAACCGTCAGCAGCAGGAGGAACAGGGGAGTGAGGGGTGCAGGACAGACAGGGAACAGAGATGTCACATTCCCACCCATCCCTGGTTTTAAACACACACCTATGGAAGCAGCTCTGCTAAAGGGGAGTGAGGGCTAAGGAAGGAAAGATCAGGAAAAGTTTCAGTTTCTGCAGCTCTGGCACAGGCTGCTCAGTGGGGTCACCACCCCTTGAGGGATTTAAAAGCTGCGTGTGGCACTGGGGCTCTGCAGTGCTGGGGAACGGTTGGACTCAGTGGTCTTAGAAAGCTTTTCCAAYCCAATCCATTCAGCAATTCTGTAATTTTCTAATTTATTTTGGAGGGTGAACTTCCCTCCAAAAAGTTTCTCTTTTCGTGTTTTAGTCCTGAAATACAGATATTAAACCAAAAATGCTCTTAATGTTTCCATTTGAAGCTGACATAATTTTGCAGAGATTTRCTTGGTTCGAAATGCGCTTCAATGTTTCTATAGGATGTAGTAACAAAGGTGGATAAAACCGGCATTAATTACATTCTTGCTCATTGTATTAAAAATTAAATTAAAAATCTTGTTATAAAATTGGGGATGGTTTCTCTCGCTGTGAGCAGGGAAGCCGGCGATCGCACACCGGGACCTGAAATCCAAGAACATCCTGGTGAAGAGGAACGAGAGCTGCGCCATCGCCGACCTGGGGCTGGCGGTGAAACACGACTCGGTGCTCAACAGCATCGACATTCCCCAGAACCCGCGGGTGGGCACCAGGAGGTGCGTGAGGGATGGGGACGGCTCCTGACAGGCTTGGCTGTGC